ATCACCGTGTCTGCCTCTCCCAAAGCATGATCATGGGAGGAAATTAGATTTAAATCTAACCCTCAAAATTGTAAGTTACATTTTAGCCACACTCAGTAAGATTGCAAATTCTGCAAGAAGAAGGACAAGATAGGAGAACAAGAGAACAAACGCTATTTTGGCCAAGTCACTTGAGCCAAAACATTCGTTGGTTCAAACCTATGGCAGTAATGAATACATGTTCACCCAAGCCTGCCAGACCTGAAACATGTTTATATATATCCATATGTCTCCTCAAAGCTTGAAAGCAGCATGAATGAGGTTTGGCAATGGTTTGGTATAAACTGGTATCAACTGGGGCGCACGACAGATCCGTTCTTGGAGGTTGGAGGCGCTGGAGGCGTCGCATCAGCCTCGCCAAACACATGACCATAGCAGGAGATAGGCTTGGAATCTAGAACGAACTGGGGCCTCACTCGGATAAGGCACAGTGCAGTTCTTCCGTCCTGCTACGAAGACAATGTGAATCTGATTGAAAACATCCCTCTGCAATTCTGGCTTCACTATGACTCACCCTCCTGCCAACAAAGCACGGGCTTGCGGATTCGTCGGCGGAGGTGGTACGTTCTCCTGTTTGGCAAATCCTGCCGGGGCCGGGCTCCCGCAAATTTGCCGAACGTATCATAACGTGTCCACAACATTCCACAACAGAATTACGTCCTTGTGCTTTCACAAAGCTGCTAAACGTTGTTTGAATCCCTTTTGGATCCGTGAAGTGCCAATAGAGATCCACTCTACCACCAGTGGCACCCGTAATCCGCTCTCGCCCTTCAACTTTCCACGGCATGGCTCCCAGCAGGAAAAATGGAAGGATCGCACCCAAAAAAAGAAACTGTCAGTGTCAGTGTCTGTGAGTCACAAAACGAGCCAGGAATCATAAGCTCTTTTGTCCCTGACTCCAGGAATTTGTCCCTGACTGCATTCAGTTTCTCTCTTTGATTGTCTTTGACTAGCTCATACGACCTCTCTCTTGATCCATTCCTGCTACTATCGCGGGCAAAAGACATCACAAAAGTCTGCACAATAACATCACAAGATATCACAAGACTCTGCACAATGGGGGGGGGCCTATTAAATGTAACTTTCAACCTCGCACACTCCAAGTTACATTTTTCACACCCCTCCCCCCCCCCCC